TTGCGAAGACATTTTTATCACTACTTGGTGTGTGAATTTAACTATTTTGTCACCAAAGCACATTAAACAATTGTTTTTAACAGATGATTGTCAAATCTTGGATGTGCCGTGTGACCCCTGAATACACCATTTCTAAAATACTTGCCAGTGAATTATCAGGGGAAACTGTTGATTTGACAATCAGGCAATCTCAAGACAGAGAAAGGCATATTGGGCCCTTACACAAACACATACACAAAACACGTGCCAAGTGTGAAGCTGATGAGATTAGCTGTTCTCGACACATGCCACATACAGACCAGCAGAGACTACTGACATAGATGCATATACAGTATAAAGGTATCTATTTGTTTACACGTTAGGAATATTTAATTCAACTCCGATGTTGTCTCACACATGAAGGAATAATCTGTGTCTCTTCCACATAGTGAGGCACACATCTCATTAATTTAACACTGGTATCAGATCAGTAATCGGCTTGTACTTGGCCAACATATATATCAAACTCCTTATGAGGGAAATGTCATCTAAGTGCATCCTTAATATTCAGTTTCCTTTAATGTAAGACTGGAAAAATGTGTCAGATCCTCAAACTGGAGAAGCTGGAATCATGTCAGCTGTGTCACCACATGATAATCACTGAAAAACCTCAGTAACATACAGTACAGTTTTCTGACTGCCAGCAGGTATTCAGTGTACAGTACGGTCTCTCACATACGTTCTCCTCTGTTCATGCCCCTCTGACTGGAGGCTACAACCCTATACATTAATTTGTAAAGTGCCTTTATTACTGTGAAGTGAAGCATGAAGTGTATTAAATGGAGACGAGTCAGATTGGCCGTCAAATCTGAGACATGTGAACTTCTGCACCTGGAAACAGGAATCACCCAGGGCAAAATTAAGTGCTGTTCGAGTCAGCACACCTACTTGAATAAAGGGTAACAGCAGATTTACAAACATCAGCGTTATCAGATAACTGCACCATGTTAAAAGTATAATATTTGGATGTGTGATATGAGGCAGAGAAACGTGATATCAAGTGTCTCATCAACTTTCAAAAAACAAACACAGGCTAAATGACTGCTCAAAGTCCCTTGTAGGGTCTCAGATGCAGACACAGGTAACCTGATCTAATACATGTGGTCTGGTTAGGGACACCCCTCTATAAGCAGTGAATGAGTCACTTAGTGGCTCAAACACCACATGTTCAGCATGAGTGACTGATCTCACATCACTGTCTATGGGACACAGCCTCTCTCTTTACGCAAATCTGTCAGGATCATTGATTTAACAAAATAATACACAAATAAGAATTTACGATAGTAAATGATAGTGATGTGTAGTCTTTTAGCTCTTTTTCCTACTGCAAAAACCTTTTAGAATTTTTAGTAGCCAGTCGGAACAGATACGAGTATGTGTTCAAATGATTAAAGTAAAAGAGCAGAAGTATTATCAGCAGAATACATTAGGTGTCAAGTTTGAAAAGAAAAGTACATAAAGCCGATTAGTTCAATCATTCTTCAAGCAACAAGACTCAACAGAGATTCATACAGAATGCAGTGCTGCAGTCAAACGTCATATCAAGGTTGCGTTGGCAGGGCCGTGTTGCTTCAGGTACCAACGAGGAGATCTAAGTTCAGTCTAAATAACTGCTGAGGGCTTGTGTGATCTCGATATACTGGTGGAGGAGGTGGACATAAAAGGCATGACCTCAGAGTTTCTAAAACTACTAGAAGCATCTTCAATAATAAAAAAAAAACAGCCCAGATGAACAACGCAGGATTGCCAACCTGGAAACCCCCCCAGGGGCCCCTGAAGTACAGGTTTAAGCTATCAACATATTTCTGTAAGGAAATCAATTAAGTAGATTACAAACCATGATATGTCCCCCATCCTCTGCAAATTGGGGCCCCTGGTCTTGAATAGGATCCCCTGAACTGATCTACTTTATGTTGAACTCTTTTGATTGTACAGTTATGTTTCATCATATTTGTTTTTTTCTTCCTCTGTATTATTGTACCACAGAGACTGACACCAACAATTACTTCATTCATCTTCATCAAATCTATTGATTGGTCGGTGTATAAAATATCGGATTATAGTGAAATTCCCATTGATGTTTCTTAAAACAAACTTAACAAATTGCTCCAGTCATTCTGACCAAGACGGAAAGTGTCATTCAAAACAGTCATAGGAAAACTGCAGAAGAAGATCTTGACATGTGAGAAGCTGCCACCAGTGAATTGACGCTTCAGATGGATCAGTTATCAAAACTGCTGCATGTCAGCTCTGCAGGTCTGAGATCATGAAACTCCGGTTACACACACTTACCGGGTGTCGCTGAAGAAGAGTAACGCACCCTTCGCTCCTCATGAGGCAGGAAAAGTTCCTCCGGTCTCTGCCCCAGGAAGAGGGGTGGAGGGAGGGCGGGCAAACCGAGCTGCAACTCCGGGGCTCCGCACTATACACGGTACAATTACAACGCAGCCGACTGCAGTGACACGCGAGTGGGGGAGATGAAGTTCTCCGGAGTGGAAGACGTGAGGTGAGAGGAGAAGAGAGAAGAGAGGAGCCGCCGACCTGAGGGACCAGAACCGCTTCTGTGTTGTTTCCTGTTGTTTATCAGTCAAGTGGCTGCACGCTCTCTCTCTCTCTCTCTCTCTCTCTCTCTCTCTCTCTCTCTCACACACTGTCTCTCTCTTTCTTTTGCACACACCCACACACACACTCACACACACGCTACACTTCCAGGGGACACACAGATCCTGGTGTGGCCGGTGCTCACCTCTCAGTCCCGCATGTCTTCCGTGACTTTCTCCGGTGTCTCTCCGTCCTGCGGTTCACTCCATCAACGAGACTTCTCCTCTGCTCAGCGAGCACCTGTGCGTCAGGAGGCACACACACACGCACACACACACACACACACACACACACACACACAGACACACACACGTAAGAAAAGACGTCAGTGTTGTCAGACACAAATAGAGAAATCATTTCAGAGACAGACCAGTGGCGGTGACTTCGTATTTGGGGGTGAGAAGCACATGGAGTGTTTGTTGTTAAACTGGCACGAACTCGTGTTTTCAACAGGTTTATTTACTCTGCGTCTTGTTTGTTGGAGCTGTCAGTCGTCTGTCTCTGCCCAGGGCCACTGCTGCCTCTCAGTGGAAACAACGACAACTGCAACCGTCCCTCATCGCACCTCTGTCCACAGGATTCTTTCATTGTGTCACGAATACAAATGGCTGTTCAGTGTGGCGTAGAATCAATCAAGCCATCAAATTTTATTTGTGTAGCCCATATTTGCAAAATCACAATTTGTCTCATAGGGCTTTAACGAGCTGTGACATCATCTGCCCCGTAGAAGAGAGTACACATTTAAAACAGTTCCTATGCCAAACAGAAGAGACACAAATAAGTGGGTGAGTAAAAGTGTAAAAACTCCAATCAATTGATTTTTTAATAAAAATCTCATAATAAAAAAAAAAACTTCTTTATAATAATGCGTTTAAGAGATGTAAGGACAAGACAGAAAAGAAAAGAAGGTCAATCACACAAAACAGGACAGAATTAGACACAAATAAATGTGTTTCATTATCCCTATGGGGGACACTCACTGGTATAATGTTTTCTTGAGCCCCTTACAAACTTTAACCTCCACAACTAAATGCCTTACCCCAACCCTTACAATCTAAACCTGTTTCTAATGGGGATTGTAGTTACACATTTGTGTTGCACAGGTTGCGAGACTTTCCACAGTAATTAGAGTAATTTTAACAATGCCAGAATTCAAATCCCATTTGTTCACTGATGGAAGAAGCACTCAGATGAAGTAAAAGTAAAAAGCTAAATACTAATATCACAGTTTCAAGAATACTATATAAAGTTCTGCATTCAAAATAGTACTGAAGTAAAATATAGTCGAAAGTATCAAAAGTAAATATAAACTGACTCGTGACTGACGTGTTATTACAAATTACATTGCGACTGGATAATACTGATTCATGAGTGCGGCAGCAGCATTACTGTTGTAGTTGCACCACATGGAGCTGCTTTAAATTATTATTATTTATTTATATACACTTAGTTAATGATGTTTGAGTTATTGAAATAAGATGTACAGGGAGAACAACTCTATCACTGAACCACCTAACTAACCAACCAACTATGTACAAAATATGATGTCTTACAGGTAATCATTCAAATCAAGATGATGTCTGACAGTATGATGATTAATGTAGACTGTTTGTGTCCACCTTGTGAAAGTCCAGTATTCTCTCTCTTTTAGCTATGTCTTTGGTTTCAGGCATGTCCTGACAATGATATTGGCTCTGTAGCTGCCAAATGCTCCACTAAGTTCACCAGCTGTTCCCTGTTGTATCTATCAGCTGTTTGCATTGCTCTGACAAAATGTTTAGAAAGAAAAACGAATATTTTTGGCTGTAAACTCAACCCACCCTGGTAAAATAATAAGTGTGTTTTCTTATAACACAATAATTACAACTGTAGATAATTAAAAGTAAAAAATAATTTTGTGAAACATTGCTTCACATCACAATTTTAATTTTCACTGAAGCCCAAAACAAAATGACAGTAAAAACTGCTGAGATGATCTCTGTGTACGAACATATACTATTATTCTGCAGCACTAAAACACTGTGTGTTAATACATTTTGATTTAGAAATAAATGGCAAAATAATTGAATGAACCAACCTATGAGCATGGCTTTCATCGTACAGCAGCTATAACATAAAACCTCTACCAAAGGTCAAGCTTGTGTTAAGACCCAAAAAATTTAAATTTTGTAAGCAGAATTTGAAATATAAACTAAATACATTCGGTGAAACACACACACAAACATAAGCAGATACATAACTAAACAAAACCTTGTCCTCTTCCTAACCATCACTTCTAACTTATTTTCATCACATGAAATGTTCAGTAAATCAAAATCAAAATCTCAGGTCTATGTCCACACACAGATTTGTTTATATTGCTTGATATTCATTTCTATTAATTATTTTATATAATTCAATTGACTGCTGTGCCATCAGCTGAAATATTTATGAAATACATATTTTTAAGTGTGCTTCAACACTTGAATTTCAGCATATGGATTCGTTATTGGTAACAGCTTTTTTATTTAAATTAAAAACATATTTACTTAAAGGTTCAGTGTGTAGAATTTAGTGACAGAGGTGAAGTGTCATGTTGCAGCTGAATACCCCTCATTTCACCCTCCCCTTCCCAACATGAAGGAAAACCTGTGGTGAACTTCAGTTGTCATGAAAACTCAAAAGGTTTTAGTTTGTCCAGTTTGGACGACAGTAAAAAAAAAACCCCTCCATGTAAATATATATTTTTTTACATATAAAGAGCTCATTCTATGGTAAAGAAAACAACAATTTATACAATTTAGATGAAACACACACGTGAAAACATCACTAGGATTATTATATATTATATTCAATTTCTGCCAAAAATCCCTTCACCTAAATCTAACACACTGGACCTTTAAAGTCAGTTATCAGTTTTACTAGTACACATAATCAGTGTGTTCAGAAGGACAATATCTTACTGTAAAGCACAACTTCTAAAACCACCTTATTGACCAAATTATAATTTCAGTGAATGACCATAACAAGCCATACAACAACCATAAAAGTTAAACACACATACATACTGACAGCTCATCTGTACTCTCAGCTGCCTGACAAAAAGTTCACAATTTTATTTTGTTGTTGTCTGCAATAGCGCTATGACAATAAATGAAGTGGCAATGTTTAAAGCAGCACCAATTACTAGTTCTATATTAACAATGGATCAAATGACTGTATATGTAGGAAGTTATGTTTAAGTGAAAAACCCACAGAGAATTTTTTTTTATCAGTGTGACGGTAACTTCAGGAGCATTTTAGCATCTTTCAGCTCTTTTTTTGATAGATTATCTGGGCTGATATACAATGCATTCCATTCAAAGCAGAAGTCATGTGACAATTTAGCCTTGTTACACCACACTTTTTGGAGTATAAGATGCCCTTATCTGCCACAGTAAAAAACAAACATCTGTGGAGTCTGCATAAAGGTGATCATGATGATTCACCAATCAAAATGGGGTCAACTGGTCTACTTTGTGTTGACATAATGTTCAAGAGGTCATTGGCGAGGCTGCCTTTTGTTCAAATGGATGACCAAGAAGTCAAGTGTAAACAACCCACAACGTGGCACATAATCTAAAAACATCAGACTGACTTATCTGCAATAGGATGTCACGTTTGGAAAATCGAATTGCCACACTTTGGTCAAATAACAGGGTTAAAATGATTTGATGTCCAGCAAATTCCAGCTTTTTATGCTGAAGCCAGTTGATTTGTTCAAAAATTGGTACAGTGCCAGTCAACAAGAAACGCCAAAGATGAAGCCACTGTCCACTACCTGCTCCGCAGAAATATAGTCAGAGAGCAGCTGGTGAACTTAGTGAAGCATTTAGCAGCTAAAGAGCCAGATATTTCCCCAGGAGGTGGTGGAGACCAAACACAGACATAACAGAATTTTGGACATCAAATTGTTGAGTGTCAAGAAACATGAATTAAAAGTAGTTGTAATGTTGCGCAAAATCTGCTGTATGCATGTATAAGCAATTGCTTCCAGCAATTTGGCATGCAGTTTCTATCCCCATCGCCAACTTCAATCCAGTAATCAAGCCCATGGCTTTTCAATCTACCTGAACATTTTAAATCCATGAATCTTCCAATACCATCTACTCACCAGTGCTTTTTGTTCTGTCTTCACCTGGAAGGTTCCCCAGCAGCTCCAGCTGTGGGTCTGTTCAGTCAATCCCTTGTATCAAACAAGAAAATGATCTTTTAAAAAATAAATTAAAAAGAAAGAAAGAGATAACATTAAGCCAGACCAGCTGGCTTAGGAAAGAGGGGGACCCAAAACTGGGGTGCGTTGGGATATGAGCTCTCTCTGCACTAAGCAGAGGTAGTCCACAGTGATCAGACCCTGATACTCAAACACCGCCCCCTCCCTCCCATCAACACAACACACGCACACACACACACACATCTCTCTTTTACACTCACAACCGTATACACTCATACTCTGTGACCTCCTGTGTCCGAGCTGGCAGAGTGCATGCCTGTGGAGGAGCCCGTTCACCTGTCGGTGTCACTCGCTGTATATTTAGCCCTGAGGTGTCAGTGATGCTGCTTGTGTGTGTGTGTTGGAATATGTGTGTGTTTGAGTGTATGCATGTGTATGTGGAAGAGAAAAATGTGTTGCTGACACTCAGGGCCTCTGTGGGCCTTGGTGTAAGAGCCCAGGATTACTGCTCCAAAGACCGTGGGCTCTACACATTACACACGCAGAGAGAGAGAGAGAGAGAGATCAAACTTGCGAGCATGTCCTAGATATCAGCACACCGAGCATCTGCTTGGCTGAGGATTACCCTCAGCTGTCTACTCTTGTCAGCTCTGAGCGGAGAAAAGGAGGCCGGCAGGCTGTGCTGACTTCGATGATGATCCATGAATCTATCAGATATCAGCACAGAAATATACCTGAATCATTAAAAATAAACCATAAAAACTCACACACGCCCTATGGTTTCTCAAACACTGTCATTTTGAGAAATACATTTGATGATTAATGAAATTTCTCATATCTAAATATTTTTGATCGTTACCCTATATTTCTTTCTGTCACTACGCAATTCTGACTCAACTGAGCATGAGAATTCATCAAAAATGTAGGCTTAGTTTATTACAGTAAGTCTGCTACTACAACCAAAACAGAAAGGTTTTGCCAGGTAGCGATTGATAGTTTTCCCCAATTAGCAGAAATGGCTGATGGTGGAGCAACTGGTGCAGTGCCCTGCTGTTGGAGGCTGAACAAAGGGAGTGATAGAAGCAGATGTAAAACAACAATGAACCTCAAACACACCTGAATGACAGGCACACAGAGACAGCTGGTAAAGAGTCTGACAGGGATGGTAAAATCTTTATGGAGTTTTAAATGTTTGACCAGCCCACCAATGCGGGACTCCACTGGGATTGTTTGTTAGTTCTGCAGCCATTCAGACTATAGAGAGAGCTCCGTGATAGGAGAGGGTCCACATTTCTTCCTCTTAAAACAATTGTGTTCAAACTGGGGTCCTGACAGTGGCTTTTTGCCTTGGTCAGGAGCTAGGCTGATAGCGGTAGCCATGTTGTGCTCCAGTCTTGTTGTGATATTGGTGCCAGTAGTAGCAATGGGGTGGCTGTGGCTGAGGGGTAGAGCGGTCATCCTCCAACCAGAAGGTCAGAAGTTCAATTCCCAGTCTTCCCATCTGCATGCCAAAGTGTACTTGGGCAAGATGCTGAACCCCAAATTGCCCCATAGAACAACACTAAAAAAAAAAGTGCTACTCTAGATGCACTGTATGTATGAATGGGTGAATGGTAAACTGTAGTGTAAAGCACTTTGAGTGGTCTTCAAGACTAGAAAAGCACTATATAAATACTACCATTTAATACCACTTTGCAACACTGGAGGAAATATTTGGGGTTGTCATTTTCAACTTTAAGACTGGGTGACTACCAGCAAGTTATATGCTGATTCTGTATAAAATGAATAAAAATGACAATTAATCCACTGGCCTAAGATATGTAGAGTAGTGCACTTAAGGGGTGCTTTCCAGACATAATGTGTACTGATAAATGTTGTTTAAATGTGGTTTGTAATGTATCAGTAAAACATTCACAGACGCGTTTGTGAATATCTCAACTTTCAGTACAATCTGCCCTCCAGTATTGAACTTATATCAGTGTGATAAGAACTACCTAAATGACAGAAACCATCATTGAGAAACATCTATTGACTTTGTGTACTTTTATGTGTACTTTTATGTATTTTGACTTTTTAGTTTGGTCCACGTCCCATCTATCAACATGGAGGGTGCAGGATTTATAACCTGTATTCTAGTCAGCCACCAGGGGACGATCAAGATGCTTTGGCTTCACTTTTTTTTTCTAGCCCTGTTGTTATCCATCTTCATACAGTATATGGTCAATGGTCCAGGCTAGAATGATGCAGTTGATTTTCTACTTTACTAACAGTAGCTTCCCAGGTACCATTCCATACAGCAGGTCACAGAGTTTAGTGAGAACAGGGTGATGGGGTGGAGACAGTTGCAGTGTAAATGATAATTCCACCTGCAAATAAACTCTGTGCATGATTTCCTTCTCACAACACACAAAGACACAGCCACGCATGAAGGCTCAAAGGAATGTGTAAAATGTTCTGGTGTGTTACATCTGCATGTTTTAATTTCCCCACCATTGGTTAGCATCCATCCTTTACCTTTTCCTGGAAAAAAGCATGCTATTTATTTACCCCCCTCCCCCAAAATGAGGTGTTTAGACTCCTGTTCACCCCATTTAGACTTGAGGATGTGAAAGGATATATAAAAGTCTGTGTTCTTTACTTTACGGTCTTCAGGAAAATGGGTCTGAAACTGATTCATGGCAGATTTGTCAGGAAAATCATTTCAGTTCTGGTCTGTTTAGACATTGAAGCAAACCTTCAACCATCATCTGACTGACACCTGAGAGCAGTTAGCAATAGAGCAGTTAGCAAATTTGCTAAACTAAGATGTTGAATATGGTAAACATTACACCTGCTGCACATCGCCATGCTAACATTACAATCATGTACATTACAATCAAGTCCTTTCTTTTCTCTTTTGTCCCCACTGACACATGTAGTGTCCTTGGGTCTGTCGAAAGGCGCTATATAAATCCAAGCTATTTTATTACTATTATGTCTGTATTAGCATGCTGACCATTACAATTAGTTCATAAAACTACTGCACTATCTACAGCCTCACAGCATAGACTGTATATAAAGATGGACGACAAGTCTCTTCTTCCTCCCACTGTATGAAAATCGTTGAGTTGGAGCCATGATATCATGAACCCAAGGATACACATGTTCAGCATCAAATAACTAATAAAAACCTACATAAATCAGTGTCATAAGAAAACGACAGATATCATCTTTGGACAAAAAAAATGTATATGTACTTTATATTGCAGCCTGCCATCAGGGGGGTGATCAAATTGTTTTGTTGTCCATCTTTATACAGTCTATGTCCCACAGAGCGGCCAACTGTTAAGTTTGTGTTTAAAAATCTCCCCATTCTTTGCGTCTCAGTTTATTTATTGTAGTTTTCCTTTTGAAGGGTGTGGGGGGGCTGAGGCCAGTCCCAGCTGACATTGGGCAACTGTGGCTCAGGAGATAAGGTCGGAAGTTCGATCCCTGTCACCCCAATTCTGCATGCCAGGCAAGATACTGAACCACAAATTGTCTGGTGTGGGTGTATGAATGGTATGAATGGTATGAATGATGTGTGATAGAGAATTAGCACTGTATAAATGTGTGTATAAATGGATGACTGACAAAACTGTACTGTACTTTGAGTGGTCATCATTACTAGAAAAAGCACCATGTACTATTAGGAGAAAAACTGGGTACCCCCTGGACAAGACGCCAGTCCATTACAGCTGACTTACTCTACTACTCATTCAGTTTGAGGGTCTGATTAAGCTGCATTTGTTTGGACTGTGAGAGGAAGCAGGAGTGAATGCCCCAGGTGGATGTAAACGGAAGAAGACGTAAACTTCACACAGAAAGACCCTGGTTGGCCGGTAGGTTTGAACCCAGACCCCTTCCTGCTGTGAGTCAACAGTGCTAACAACTGCAATACTGCACCACCCTACATGTCTGAATTCTGAGTGTATAAATGTATCCACAGCAACCACTGCAACATAGAAGCCACAGTGGAACATGTCCATGATGTAGTGTGCATTGCAAAGATCTCAGCTAGAACATTTGTGATCTGATCTATTATTGTGCTACAACAGTACTCTTGTTACTCAGATAATCTGAAAAAATCTACAAGAATTCTTAGTGTTTAATGTTTTAAATAGAGAGGTTGTGCATAATGTTCCTTCTTATTTTTCAAGTGTTAAAGGTGTACAGGAATGTGTTCCAGTTATCTGAAAGACTCGACTGTGTATCCTGTATCTTCAGGGTGTCAGTCCTGCAGTATTTACAGGTATGTGTGCGTGCATGTAATGTGTGAGTTTGTGCTGGTGGTTGCCTGTGTACATCCTGTGCAGGCAGATAGTGTAGGAGGAGTTGGATGAGGTGTCGGAGCAGCATAAATAAGCAATCACAGAAGCAATAAGCTCAGTCTGAAGAGAACCAGATGTGTGAGGAGAGGGATCCTGGAAATGTTATTGCTGGAAGCACAAAGTCTCTCAAACATCCTCTTTAAATTCTCTGCAAGCTTGACACTTTTATTTCCACTCTTCTTCGTCTGATGTCCTATTACAGGGTGAAAACTGTGCCTCCCAGTGCTTTCACTTGGTCTCACAAGTCTCAGACACAAAGTTTGTTTGTGAGAAAGTTTTTTCATAATACTTCTGCGTCTGTGGGGAAGGGTTTTGTTGTTTAGTTGAGCTTGAGGGAAGGTCTGCTACAGTGCGGTGCAGGCTGGGTGAAGTTGGGATGTCCGAGAGATAAAGTTACTGTGAAAGCCATGAGCATGTGTAAACTAATCCATCCTCACCCAACTGCCGGGCATAGTCCGCAATCCACAGCATGTCTCGAGGCATTCCCTCCTCACGTCTGTGTCTACTCCCCTCCTACACCTCCTCCATGAGGGAATTCCGGAGTTTACCACTTCTGCTACTGTACAGCTCATGTAATTTGTTACATATATGAATAATCAGAAACAGCTACACTTTTGTTTTAACACACAAAGAAAAGAGTCATGTTTATCTGCCATTGTTGTTAGATGAGCTAAACAATAATAGTAAATAGTACATACTATTTTAGCATATACACCCCCATCACCATCTCTCCGAGTGTCAACATAACTCCCCCACTGAAAGAGACACATCTACCATAACCTCTTTGTGGACCTTTTGTCTCCCTG